AAGGAGAACTTGGATGATATTTAGCTGCAGTTTTCCAATGAGGTAGAACAGGTGAGAGCGCCCTCTAGTGTGCAGGATAAAAGCTAAACTCTTTGGGAGTGAAAGAGGAGGAGTTCCTCCTGGGGGAAATCTATGCAAATCAGGCCTTTAGCTTCACCTTTTTAGCGCTTTGCATGAATAAATATTTAAACCAACATAAAAACCAGCTGATTACTTCATCGCATTCTGGTAAGTTTTCAGTTCTAATAATATTACGTTTAAACATCCACAGAGTAACGGGAATCTGCCTTCAGACAAACACTGAGATTCTGCAAGAAATTCAAAGATGGAGACGAATGAATTTCTTGTCTCTGTTGAGGAAATGTGCAAAATCATCTTTAAGCAAAGTAAACAATGAACACAATCAGCCAAAGATGCGTGAGGTTACCCCCCCTCCAGGGGAAAAACTGATGAACAATTTGATCTGTGATGGTGTCTGAAGGAGCGATACAGTTTTAACTAACTCTGCTGGAAAAATATTGATTTTATTTTTTTAACTATTATTAATGAATTACATTTAATCAACTTTAATTTCAAATAACATTTGGACATTGTGTCATGAGTTTTCTATTAGAGAAAAATGTTGACCTACACATGAGGTCAAAGGTCAGACTGACAAGGTGAGGATTTAAAAAAGGTTTAAAAATATCTTTAAATTTAAACTTTAATGTCTCTTTCATAAGTTTATAGATGTCAAACTATTCAACCAAAACTCTATAACTAGAAAATATTAAACCTGAAGGATTCTCAGACAGAAAATGTCTTTTTGTATCGTTATAATATTCTATTAAATATTTTACATTTAATAAAAATAAAATGCATAATTTAACTTTCACATTTTAGTGGCTTATATCTTTATACCTCGAGTCTCCAGTGAGGTTTTAGCTGTTAAACAGCAACAGACCTAAAGATCCACTTTAAAAGAACCTGGAAGCTAAAGAGTCCAAAATGAAAACGACAGACGAAGACATTTTCATGGCTCAATCCAGACGTCCCAATGTGAATTAATGTGAATTTTTTTAAAATAATGGCCTATTTTATTAATAAGTGATTTTATAACCATATCAATTGTAAATTAACTGTTTATTTCATTGTCCAAAACTTCCTGGATGGGAAGCGAAACGTCTTTGAACTTGGAAACAAATCCTGTGGATTATTTTTGCACTTTTTGGAAATATTCATTTCTTACAACCATCAATCGTCTTTAATTATCATTTTACTATGACTTCATTTATTCTGTACCATGAACTATTAGGGCCAGGCTGGAGATTTTTCTTTTTCTTCTATTTAGAGAAACAAGTCGTAATATTATCAGAATTATCAGAATTAAGTTCTATTTTATGACAAGAAGCTCTTTCTTCCCTAACATGAGGAATGTGGAGCATCATGTGAAGTTTTATCTGAAACAGGTTGTTGAATGATGACTTTATTCTAGTGATATTAGAAACCTCCTGCAGCCTCTGATGTAATCCCAGATATTTGCTCCACATCATTAGAACCAAAAGTTTAATCTGTTAAAAGTTTGCTTCATTTTTATTTTCTAGTCTGTAAAAAACAAAAACATTGCAGAAGATAAAAGCTGCGTCATATTTACCGTAGCATCCTCTCCTGCATAGTGACTGATGACATGAGAGCCTCCTGGATGCCTTCTGGCCCACTGGCTGATGTTATAAACCTTCCTGTTAACCACCAGCCACTGGTCTCTCCTGCTGCGGTGCTTCTGCACCTCCTCCCAGGTGTAAACACCTGCAGCCTTCCCGCTGCCTGGCTCTCCTGCCTCCTCCTTCTGCCCTCCTCCTCCCATCCTGCTGCTGCTGCTGATGATGATGATGATGATGATGATGATGATGATGATGCCTTCACCAAATCTTCAGATATTAATTAACCAATTACCGACAGAGGAGTTTAGAAACTGGTGCAGAAAAAACATGTTTGAGTCACTTTCAGAGTTTTCCTCAATAAAGACAAATAATTTAATCTGAGGAACCAAATGAGGAAAACCTTTTTTATAAGTTTATTGAAATTTTCAACATACATGTTACATTTTAAATAACTGATTAGATGAAGAAGAATAAATGAAAACTTACAAAGTGCAGATTTCTGCAGATTTCTGCAGCTTCAATCAGGTCCGCAGAGCAAAGACAGACCTTCAGTTAAAAACACTCAGCGGTTTATTCACCTCCTTCCTTCCTCTGCGCGAACTTCGAGCGGATCATTCGAGGCTCTCCGACCAATCAGCGCAACTCTCCTCTATTTCGGGTGATTGCTGGAAACAGCAGAGCCGCAATAAACCGCCAGGGTCACCTAAAGGGAAGCAGACAGCAGGGGACGTCATGGGTCTCATGGAGATGGTGGACATTTTAAAACTTCTGCAGAGCAAAGGAGTAAAGGAGGAGAGGGGTGCTCTTTGGGGTTTTTTTAATCCTCAGCTGCACCATGTCATTCTGTTCTTACTGAGAGAAATAAAACGCAAATGTTATTTTCACATTCAGTCTATTGTTTTTGTTTGTTTGTTTAAGGGTTTCTTATCAAAGGAAGGGGGGTTTAAATCTCAAAATTAATCCTTAAACTTCATTTCAGCATCTAAGGGATGTAATAGAACGAGGATCAAAGGGTCATTATCACTAATTTACTAATGGAGGATCAGTTTGACTTTAGCAAATACTGTTCTGCCCAATTTTGAGCCTTTAGACTCACAATGCTAAAAAAAAAGATTCTGCTTTCTGCACGTCTACTTCAATTCTATTCAGTTTATTTCTATACCTCCAGTTCACATCATGTCATCTCAGGTCACTTTATAGATCCAGATCAACCAGATCATCCAGTCAGATTGATTCAAAGTTTTCTATCTAAGGAAAACCAGCTGATTGCATCGACTCATTGACTCTTCAGCAATCCCTCACACTAAGCATGCTTGTAGCGACAGTGGAGAGGAAAAACTCCCTTTGAACAGGAAGAAACCTCCAGCAGAACCAGGCTCAGTGTGAGCGGCCATCTGCTGAGGCCCACTGGGGTTCAAGGAGACAGAAGCAGACATAGAAAAAGAAGCATAGATACAAAAGGCAACTGTCAACCAGCTCCACAGGCGGCCCCGTCCAGGAAACACACAGCCAGGCAGACGAGCTCCGAGCCAGCTCCGATGTCAGAGGATGAAGAGAGCACATCCAGTTAGTCACAGTCAGAGAAACAGGACTACACTGGAAAACAGGCCAAGCTCCAACATCTAGAAACAAAGGTGTTGATGGCAGCAGCACAGCTGATATTTCTCTCCAGGATGGAGTCACAGCCAAACAGGAACAGACCAGATGAAGCTACTATGAGAAAAAGCAGAGAGAGCAGAACGTTAGAGATTGAACTAACAGATTCTGCAGAGTGGGAGAATAGAGATAGAATGAAGCAGAATGATGAAAAAGGGGTCCCTATGTCCTCCAGCAGTCTAAGCCTATAGCAGCAGAACTATAGAGATAGAATGAAGCAGAATACTCACCCGAGCAGTATGGTCAAATAGCTTACATGCACACTAGATGGAGCTTTCAAGAGTTTTCCAGATGTGGTTCATATAAAATAAGTCAGAGCTGAACTCCTAGGATTAAACTAGAGATTAATCCAGGAGGAAAATAAAACATTTTGAAGGCTGCAAAAGTCTAATGACTGGAGTGGAGATTCAGCTTTCAACAGGACAACAGAAAACATGCAGGGCTAGAAATGCTTAGTTAGAATAGAGAGCAAAATAATCACATTCCAGGATTAAAACAATGATGATGACAGGTGCTTAGCTGTCTGTTTTATCCTTTGCAGAAGAAAATGGTGAAACAATTCAGGCTGCTGCAGGTATAATCATCAGATATTCTGCCGTGATTTCAGGAAAAGCTGGTTTATAATTGATGCGATGGATTATAGTGGTTTAAACGTCGAGTCATTTGGCTCGGTGTATCAGCTGGAATCATTTAGATGTTCTGCACCCAACCAGGCTGAGCTGGCAAGCTTAACAAAGTCCAAGACCAACTTAACAAAGAGGAAAATTACTCCACCGTGTCATGCTATGCTGGACCTTAAGAAACGTCTTTAAAAGGTCACAGCTTTGTCATGCAGTACGATCATGAACGGGAGCGCACCTTTAACCTGCGCAAAACCTTCCTGGAGAAACGAGATAAGGCTGCTGTATCAGTCATGCCATGGCCGCCACAGTCAGCTGATATAAGGAGGCCTCATTCATCAACATTCGTCTCTACTGAATCAGTCTAGAAGACTGATAATAGATTTCACAATGTCTCAACTTAAAAACCAGTTTATGTTTACAGGTATATGTTTTTGGTTGAAAGGAAAGAACAAACTTTAGCATGACCAGCGTTTCAGCAAATTAATAACACATTGAAACAAATTATCGTGCAAATTTATTTTTAAAGATTCTAAAGTTTTAATGGACTTTATTGATCTCAGAGTGGAGAAATGTCCTCCTTCCATCAGCTCAGGTAGTCAAAAGAGAAGAAGAAGGTGCATGATGGGATATGTTCAGTTCATCCACATAGGACAGCTTTTTATTTATTCTAGGATCATTAGAGAAGGTTTGAAGCAGGAGGTGCTCACTGCAAAGGAGCTCAGCCTCCTCAGGAGGTGGAGGGAGGCGCCTCTGGCCCCCGAGGACGGGGCCGCCTTTTACAGCTGCTTTATGTATCTATGCTTCTTTTTCTATGTCTGCTTCTGTCTCCTTGAACCCCAGTGGGCCTCAGCAGATGGCCGCTCACACTGAGCCTGGTTCTGCTG